TTACACAGACCTATGGAAAGAAAGAAATATCATTGAATGTAAAGCACACACCAAGAAAATGCAGCCATCAGAGAGAGTGATTCGTCTTGACATTGAATATCTCATTATACATTCGCTTTGAGGACGACTGTGTCTCAGACTGTTTGTGTAAACAGATTTCATTTTTGAATGCTAGGCATTCTACTGGTATTATTCCGTTTATGAATTCTGATTCCAACTGTGAGATTTTTAATGACAAACTGCCAGATCAGATCAGAGGAAGCCAGGCAGAAAAGTCAAGCTTTCAACCGAAGCTGATCTTACAGAGATGTGGTGGAGCTTTTCAACTGGCCATACGTGCAGGACTTGTGTATGTGAGCGAGCCTCACACCCTGCCTCTGGTTCTGCGATGCATGCGTGTGATGTGTGCAACAGAGCATGTGCATGTGTGTTGTGTGTGGTGTGATGAGATTCTGCCCTTTTTTGACACATTGTGCTGCTGTTGTCTGAGAAATAGCTTCTGTCTGCACTTTTACTGTACTGACAGTAGAACAGATAAGGATCAATATTATTATGATTAACAAAACTGCAATGCAAACGAAATGAATGAATTTTTGTTAACAAACATATTTACAGTTAACAGGCTCCAAATCCATGGTATATTATAAAACCTTGTGCAGCACATCTGCATTACACAAGAAAAGAAGTAGGGCTAGATGACAATAACACTTGAATTTGCTGAGATTTTTTTCATTAAATGATACTAATCAGTGCATTAACTTTGGCTGCCTTAAAATACTCAAATTAAAATGAAAACTAAATAAACTGAAGTTTAAAAACTATAAACTAAACTAAAATAGAAATTAAAAAAGAATAAAATATACTAACCCTGGCTCTAGGGCTGCACAATTAATCGAATTTCTAATCGCGATTACAATTACGGATGTCACAATTATGTAATCGTTCAAAGCGGCAATTAATCGTTCAAAGTCCACTTATGTTATTCTGTGTGCTTAAGATCTGTTTTTTTTTTCTTTCTACAAGTTATCTTAAGGGTTTTTCCATTGTTTTAATTTTAGTTTTAATATGACATTATAATACCATGCATATTTTAACTTTTTTTATTTAAAGAAGAAACCAATCCAATGAATAGATGCCATTTGAGGCTTAATACTATAGAAAAGCAATAAAGGTTTTTCAGTTTGAGGGTATTCAGCTTGTTTATTTTCATCTAAAAATATGGCATGCGGTTGCTTCAAAGAGTGATATAACATCATTCAATGTAAATTGTGATAATCGTAATTAATAATTGCAATTACAATTTCAAGAGAATAATCGATAATTGTGATTTTTGTCATAATCGTGCAGCCCTACCTGGCTCTGTAGCAGCATGACACACTTAGTCAGTCCTCAGCTGTTCTGCTTCACTGGAGTATTGGGGTTTTAGGGGTTGGGGTTTGCGTACAGTCAAATTGTACAAGAAAGCTCAATAAAACAGTCCTGGAGAGCTTTCTCCCACGGTGATATCAGATGAATATTCTTGATTCATATTTAATGAGGCTTGGCACTTATCTTTCCGCTCTGCTCGAATCCACAGTTGAGTAATTGCTGATTCATATTTGATAAGGGGTAAAGAATCCTAGCTCTCCCTGAATCACCTGCACCCGAGGGGAAAATACAGAGCCAGACCCAAACTATATCAACTTTCTAATGAGTGAGTGAGTGAAGTGACGTGTGGCTAAGTATGGTGACCCATACTCAGAATTTGTGCTCTGCATTGTGCACACACACAGTAGTGAACACACACACACACACTGTGAACACACACCCGGAGCAGTGGGCAGCTATATTGCTGCAGTTGGGGGTTCAGTGCCTTGCTTAAGGGTCTCACCTCAGTCGTGGTATTGAAGGTGGAAGAGAGTGCTGGTTATTCACTCCCCCACCGACAATTCCTGCCGGACCTGAGACTCGAGCCCACAACCTTCGGGTTACAAGTCTGACTGTCTAACCATTAGGCCACGACTGCCCAGGTACTGAATGCACACGAGGAGGAGAGAATGTGTGACTGTTTGGCAGAAGCTTTCAAAAGGAATAGGATATGTGGTGTCTGGCCGTCCAGAGTGTGGCAGCGCTTTGATGCCTGCTGATGATCAGTCAGGTGCTTTTAAGAGAGAATAAAGATAAAGAGAGGGGCTGGGTCGGGGTCCTTCCTCTGGTGGGAAACTGATTTCAGATCGAATAGTAATAAAGATTTTTTATGTCTTTACTCATCAAGAGTAGTTTAAAGCATTTAATAATTTAGGGAGGCAGACTTCGCAAGTCTTTAGCCGTGTTTATTCATGGTGATGGGTTGTAGTTTCTCTGGTTATCCAGAAGATGGCAACCTTCAAAAGATATGACAGAAACAACTCTCTAGAATTTTAAAAGGGCAATGGTAAAGAGAGTCAAACACTTAAAGATATTTGCGTTCATTGCTTTACTGTATTTTGGGCATTTAGTGAGTCGCCTTAAACAGGTTTTTGCACATTAATACTTTCAGTATGAACAGAACAGCTTCTCAGTGTACATGAAGGTTATGGCGATAGATGATTCATAACCTGAAAGCAAAACCTTCTCACAATTATGCATTCAAAAGAATTGCTATGTTTTTTATGTATGTTTTTTACTTGCCTTTTTCTTGCCTTTCGTAAAGTTTAGCATGCATCATGACGAAACTTGTAGAAATGCAACCCACGTTCACATTCACAATGGCTTGCCAAAACCCTCAATATTTTATAAAACAAGATCCTTACTTTAATATGTGTGATAAAGAAGCAATATAAATATTCATTTTATGGACTGTGTGCAAATAGTAAATGAGTGTACAGAGGTGTGGATTCACAGGCTTGAGATGGTTATTTTTTCTCAACACTAAGGTTCTCAGGGTTCCATGTCAAATAATTGTCTTGAATTGTTCCTGAGCAGCTCAGATCATTAGGAAGCCCAGGGGGTCAGTTGAATTTAACGACAGGGCAGCTTTCAAGACAGGAGTCAAGCTTGTGTATCTGAATAAAACATGAGCATGTTATTAATCATGAGGATTTAATTAATCTTCTCTTCACCTGAGACTGCTCAGCCTAACGCCTGAATGCTTTCACACTGCCAGATTTCAACACAAAAAAGGTGTAGCTCAGTAATTATTTGGTAACATTTTAGAATAAGCTTCAATTAGTGCATTAGGTGTCATGAACTAACAATGAACAACAATTTTTACCCAATGTATTAATCTGAGTTAATGTTATTTTATAAATATATCATTATTTATTGTCAATTAATGTTTGTTCATAATGCATTCATGTTAATTTATAGAACATTAAATGTTAAAAGGGGTATTAACCAAAAGGTATAATACATTGTTTATACAATGTTTATATACAATATGTTTTTATGTTTTTAATATATTTTTGTTTACATACATATGTTTATTTCATTAACTAATTTTAATGAATTGAACCTTATTGTTACCAAATATTTCATAATAAATGACGGAAAACATCTGGTTTGTATTTAATAATAACACTGAACAAAACTCATTTTGCATAAATTAACATAAAAAATAAATATTTTTTACATTGTTTTTTGACCCTAATGACCATTCTTTGGTCAGATGTTAGTGCCAGAGGTTATATAGATGATGGAGTTTACACCGTTTTATATGAATCAAAGCATTTTGGTATTCTGTAGGAATTATTTAAAGACTGTCACTTAAATTCAGCAGAACACCAGACACTGTTCAAGAAGAAGAAATGTTTGAATTAATGTTTGATTCCAGGCTCCACAATCCAGCAAAACTGCAAGAAAAAAAAAGTAAATTAGACTTAGATGTATAGGGCTGTATGATTCATGATAACTGTAACAGCTCTAAGTGATTTCAGAGCTGTTGAATTACTTCTTGCCAACTGGGTCACATTCTACCAAACAAATGTACAAGAGTATCCCAAAGGATTTTCCTCACCGATTTATTTCTTTCCATATGGGCACGATTACAGAAGTCATGGAGAACTGGGTCTCTTCCTTTTAATATAAACAGCATATTTATATTTCAGGATGCAAATTAATGCTGTGCAGTAGTATGCATCATAATGAATGTCATGCTGTTCCTCCATATGCAAACACTGCCTGTATTTTTATCAGTCTATGATTTGTTTAAAGGATTGCATCCACACATTCTGAAATCATTTATTTATCTTTTGTGTGTGTATATTTCAGGCTCGTTGAGCAACGTATCCAGTGATGCCAACTTCAGTTGTGACAGCGGCAGCACCAATGGCTCATGTGCAGCGGTTGAGGCAGACGGCGACAGCCCCTACAAGACGGTGGAGATGGTCTTCATCGCACTGGTCACAGGATCCCTCAGTTTTGTCACCGTTGTGGGCAACATCCTCGTCATGCTCTCAATAAAGGTCAATCGACATCTCCAGACCGTCAACAACTACTTCCTCTTCAGCCTGGCCTGTGCAGATCTCATCATCGGTGTGTTCTCCATGAACCTTTACACCGTCTACATCATCAAGGGCTACTGGCCGCTCGGCCCTGTTGTGTGTGACCTGTGGCTCGCGCTGGATTACGTGGTCAGCAACGCTTCTGTCATGAACCTGTTAATCATCAGCTTCGACCGATACTTCTGTGTGACCAAACCCCTGAGTTATCCCACACGCAGAACCACCAAGATGGCCGGCCTCATGATCGCCTCCGCCTGGATCCTGTCTTTCATCCTGTGGGCTCCCGCTATCCTGTTCTGGCAGTTCATCGTCGGAGAACGGACCGTAGCGCCTGGCGAATGTTACATCCAGTTCCTTTCCAACCCCGCGGTCACGTTCGGCACGGCCATCGCTGCGTTCTACCTGCCAGTGGTCATCATGACGGTGCTTTATGTGCACATCTCTCTGGCCAGCCGCAGCCGTGTGTCCAAGCAGAAGCCTGAGGCCAAGAAGGAGAAGAAAGGCCCGAAGTCTAGTGGCCTACTCAAGAGTCACATCTTAAAGCAGAACAACAACAACCAGTCTCCTCCTAAGCCAAGCCTGGATACCTGTTCTACGGTGGACACCATGAAGAACGGCAAACTAGACGAGTCTGTGGTGTCCGCTAAAGCCGACTCCTGCGTGCAGCCGGAGGAGAAGGAGAGCTCGAATGAGTCCAGCACGGCCAGCATAGCACCTAAAGAGCCTAAAGAACGAGCGAACAGTGAGGCGACTTCAGAGGCCGGTCTGACACCCGCTCCGGCAGCCGCCCCTAAAGTCAACCCTCAATCCAAATGGTCCAAGATCAAGATAGTCACCAAACAAGCAGGAGACGAGTGCATCACAGCCATCGAGATCGTCCCACCGAACAGTACCGGCGAGAGGCGCTCCATCCCCGTGAGCCGTCCCCGCACGGTGGTGCGCAAGTTTGCCAGCATCGCCCGCAGCCAGGTGAAGAGGAAAAGGCAGATGGCGGCACGAGAGAAGAAAGTGACAAAGACAATCTTCGCCATCCTGCTGGCCTTTATTATCACATGGACGCCATACAATGTGATGGTTTTAATCAGCACGTTCTGCCATTCGTGCGTTCCAGACACAGTCTGGGCCATTGGCTACTGGCTCTGCTACGTCAACAGCACCATCAACCCTGCTTGCTATGCACTCTGTAACGCCACCTTCAAAAAGACCTTCAAAAACCTGCTCATGTGCCAGTATAAGAACATCGGCACCAGATGAACTAAGGGAAGAAGCAGCCAGCGGAGATGGAGGGTATGATATGCAAGGTACAATGGCTGTCCCGGCTCTTCTGGCCCTGATACCTTTGAAACTTTGGAAGGCACTGTGCAGTACATTGTGAGGCTTCATAGTCCAATAATGCTGAAACAGTGTGTCATAACCAAAAGTTTATGTTTTAAGGAATCAGTGTTTACAAGAAGATGATGGAACAATGGACAAGAGACTGAATCACTGAAGAAATCAAGCTGAGGTCATGAAGCAAATGACTTTTCCAGTAATCTGATCATTGCTGCACTGCTAAGACCACTGGAATTTTGCAGTACAGTAATGTGAAGATGACATTGCTTTAGAGAGGACATTCATGGCTCATTATTCCCAAAAGTGAAGAGAGAGAATCGCAGCAAATATAACCCAAAAGAGACTTGATGAACAGGATTTTATTGATTCACTTAAATTCCCAGTACAGCACAAATGGTATCAATCAAGTCCGTTTGGTTAGTATTAACACTGTTTCTGACCCAGACTTCTGTGACAGGATGCAGATTCGTCATACAGAGGTGAAGAAGATGTGATTGGAGAACGTATCCCAACCAGAACCGATAACATATGGAAAAGCTTCCTGTTTGACTGTCCCAGAAAGCAAAGTTCTCCCGAGTGAGATTCAGTTTCCTATACTTGCACCTTCCACTTTCCAAATGAAGGAAGTCATAAGATTGAAGCTGCTTGCTGACCACAACAGCTGTGTAGTCCATTACATTCAGAGCGACAAATTCAGGGCATGTGGTTCAGCTTTGGGAGAAGTTAGTCATCATTATCCTCAGCGTGATCCTCTTGAGGTTCTGGAATAGGTCAAAATTCAAAAGGATCTCCTCAATGGATTGGGATAAGCATTATAGACTTTAAATGGGATGAGACAATCTATACTGAGCTGAGAAATGTCAAATGTCACTGTAAAGGTTTGATCTTGCAGAGGTGTGTAAATATGTTTGGTTATGATGAATATATGCTCTTGAAAGTATTATTGCTTCCCTGCATTTGATGTCTGGATGTTTGTGTTCCTCTTGTATTTAGTTGGTGATCTTTGTGTGATTTTACAGATTAAATATTAAATGTATTGTTGTCTGTATGCAAAACTGTTGAAACCATTTATAATTTGTGAGATACTTCGGGGGGAAAAAAACCAGGAGAAGACTAGTACATTTATTTAACCGGTTTATAAGATGTTCAATTTCAAGCATTTAATTTAAATTCGGGGATTGTCCGTAAATTTGAGAAATGGAAAATTGGTTTTATTTCCCCTGTAAAACACAATGTTGATTTAGTAGATACCCACTTCATAATATCGTTTTCTCATGGTGCAATATAATTTCGCCTAGTTTGTATTTAAATACACAGTTTGTAACTGATGAAACTGCAGCATGTAAACCAGAAGAAATGATCTCCCACAGTTTGTTTGAGAACATGTGGTCAGAATTAGCACAGAGGGAGAAATGTGTTGATGTGTTAGGGCTCATGTTGTTACATTATTCACAAGCTGCCAGTTTCAGCAATTACAGACTTTAAAGCATTAAACCAAAGAGGTCGTGGCGCTCTGGTCTGTTATTAGGCCTGGTCTGCAAGAGAGGTTATTCATTCATTAGCATCATGTTAAGATGCAGAGACTTACCTCTCTAACGTCTTGGGTTTGGTTTCATGTTTCTACCTCATATATACACATCAAATTTCCATTCATAGCATCTGTATCTCCAAACCAGCCCTGAATCTCTTTTTAATGAGCAGTAAAGACAGACTATTAATACTAAGTGACTATTGTGCCATTGACAAAGAAATTAAAACCAGATTTCCATTTTTCTGAATGTTTTCAAATTGCCAATTGCTTTGGTCTTCTTCTGATACATGAACTGTGTTGAAGTAGGCTGTTCACTACAAATCTTACTCATTCGAAGATGTGCTTTTATAAAAAGTATCCCCAACTGTGATGCAAACTCTAAGAAGGCTTCACATTGGAATATCGTTATCTCTAAGAGAGTTATGAAACTATAACTCCTTTTGTAACTGTACTAAAGAAATTCAATCATGCAATCCGATCGGTTACTAAATATTGTTCTTCTGCAATTCTGAAAAAAGCAAAGGTCAAACCTTTGAATCTATTAGATGACCAATACAGCAAAATGACTTTGCCCATCATGCTCTCTCCTTTCGGCCACTTCAAATGTTTATAAAATGTAAATTATTATAGGGATTAATAAATACATCCCCCATTTAACTGTACCTGCTGAAGGGCAGTCAATGTTTATTACCCCAGTGAAGCTGATGGAATGAACACACTGTAATTATTGACTTATCTACCACTGCCCTTAAAGAGCCAGTGTACATAAGAGTGTATGCTTCTTTTTCTATTGCATAAAGCTTAATAAAGATCTTAAGCGCACTGACCAGGAGGAGAGGAGAATGCTTATTCTTTACATATTCATAAACACACATATTGGTTTGCATAATGAGAAATTTGGAGGGCTCAAGTGTCTTTAATAATGAACTGTCATCACTCATTTACCTTTAGCTAACACTACATATAACACACAACGCTCAGTAACAAAACATTACTGTCTTTCTTAAATGCTTATAAAACAGGTTTGCACAAGAGGGAACGGTCTCCTCTCTGTGCAGTTTAATGCTGGTAACCCTCTGTCACCCTTAGGTCTGTTAGTAACAGTCAAGTCAAAAGGAAAAGTAACAGTATTGGGGTATTTTCGCTTTTACATAAACTACACCTTTTATAGAAAAAGAGAAATCATTTATTTCAAACAACACTTCTCAGCATTTCATTACACCAAATACACAAAATAATGTTCTTTTTAGCAACATCATATGACCCCTATAAAAAAAACTTAAAAATGTCAGTTTTGGGTTTGGTGTTGAAGGTGTACCTTTGGGTTTGTTTTTGACCTTGGTGGTGCAGGGTTTGGACACAGAGATGGTTTGCTGACAGTCGACGTTGAAGAGAGCCTTTACCAGAGTGCCAGTGCGGCTCTTTGTGCTTGTGGCTGCGTCACACTCGCCCCAGTTTCCAAACTTATACTTGCAGTCGGCTGCATGAAATGAGTTACAATTTAGTATGTAAGATAATATGAAATGCACAGAACAAACAGAAATACACAGCAGCACAAAAGCACTAAATATAACAATTAAATGCCAGAAATAATAGTGATGGCTAAATATAAGAAGAAACTGTGAGAAGTTAGAAAATTTCAGCTGATTGACCAGTCTTACTCACCTCCAAAGTCTTTCTTCCAGTTGCAGGGCACTCTGCATTTGACTTTCTTGGTCTGCTCATTGCAGGTGCCTTCCCTCGTGCCTGCTCCACAGTCCCCGTTATTGGCCACACAACTGCCATAGCGCCATTCCGCACAGTCCGAACCACCCTTACCTCCTTTATTCTTCTCTGTCACATGACACACAGGCAGCGTTATTTCTTTTCTCCCCTTCAGCCAAGTATCCCAGAAACTCATGCAAAACTGCTTAGGTTAAAAAGCAACAAATTTTCAGTGATATGTCAGTATTTGCTTAAAGGGATAGTTCACCCAAAACTGAAAAGATATTTTGAAAAATGTTGGTAACCAAATAGTAGCTGGTTGCTACTGGCTTCCATATTCCATACTATGGAAATCAACGGCTACCAGCAACTGTTTGATTACTAACATTTTTCAAAATATTTTCTTTTACATTCAACAGAAGAAAGAAACTCTTGGAACAACTTGAGGGTGAGTACATGATGACAATTTTCGTTTTTTGGGTGAACTGTCCCTTTAAGGCAGGAATACACTAACATTAAATGACTTTTAAAATCAGAACAGATTTTAAAACACTAGGCATCACACTTGTCACATATGTAAATGGTTACAGAAGAAAAAAACTGGGCAACATACAGCAAACATTTGAAAATCACACACCACCAGACTTGCAAGCCGATCCTAACACAACAAACGTGCCCCTCTTTTATAGAAGCAGCACAATGAATGAAAATATGGTTTCTAAAACTGGCTCAAAATATCATGTTTGGATAGCAAATAGAAATAACATGTTTGAAATCCATCAACTGGATGAAATCACAGTCAGAAGCTAAAAATTGGAGTCTGTGCCCATCATACACTATATGCAATTTTCTATAAAATGCCCAAAACTTGTAGACTGGCTCAGACTTTCAGCAACTAGCGCTGACTTGTCCATACTGCAAATTGGGGCAAAATCTGTTCAAAAGTAGTGTATTCCAGCCTTAAGATTCAAAGTGAGAAATCACAGGATATAATTCTATATGAGAGCTGAACTAATGGAAGAAATGAAAGAGAGGAGAGATGGTCTCTTGCAATATTTTATACCTTTCTTGTTTTTCCCAGCCTCTGTGGTCACGATCATTAAGGCCACCAGCACCACGATGAGGGTGGAAAACAGGCCACGCATTCTGAAAAACACACACAATCATCAGCTGCTGCAGAGCAAAATTGCAGTTTTCAGTAACTGAACAATTTCTGTCATAAGTACTGTTATCAAAGGGCAGGACAGTAATCGAGCCATCTATGCTGAGGCGTTACTTCACCCTTTTAATATTTCAAATTCCCAATTAGAGATGAATGAATGGAGCTGATAAGGGTGATCATTCAGAATGATTAATTAGAACTTCACTGACTGAATTCAACGGACTGGCATTAAAATGTCGCAGACTTGGCTCGTGCAAACACAAAAGGTCATAATGCTGAAGGACTGCATGATTCTCTGCTATCACTACCATCAGATTATAATGTAACAACAGCGCTTAATTTCTCCAGCCGCCCACAGAAATGGCACACAAACACATCACACAGAAGTATGATGTAACAGCTACTGAAATGGGAGAATACATGGTGAATTATGATAATATGACGTTCTTGGCACCGAAAGCACCGCCACTGTACAAGCTTGTTGCTTTGATTCAGGAAACATAAACATCCAAAACGACACAAGAACATTCGCAACCCTGACTAACATCCATTCACACTCAAAAGAAAGAGACTTGACGTGTGTCTTTGAACGTGTCCTTCTGTCCTGCTGGTATCGGCTCCAGAGACTCACAGTCCTCACATCTGCGTTCTCTCTCTGTCTCTGCTCAACTGTGTATAAATGGTGTAAATGAATAAATCTCTTTTGCTCTTCTGCTTCTCAACATGTCAGCATTAAAAACGAAAAAAAAAAACAAGACCCCACAGCGCTGACAACGGTGGGACGTTTATTTTCATTAACACCGTGAATGGTAGGTGCAAAATTTTTTAATTTTTTTTCTGAGAAAAGAACCTTTTTCAATCTCACATTTATTTGCCTGGATCATCTCAAATGAGGGTTTCTCCATGTACACAGATCTGCTTATATGGGTTTTGTGTTTGTTACTCTGGCTGCGTGAGCGCGCTCTTTAGCTCTGCTTGTGATCTCCATGGCGATGATTCGCCCGCGTGCTGTGAGATAGTAGGAGCGTATTGTCTGAAGAGAATGGAATCATTGCCGCGGGACGCCATTCTTCCGGAACGCTCCGTGGATATGAAGGCAAGAGGACTGAAGCAGCAGCTCACGCAGAGACGTGCACTCACATATGGACCCACACAGATTACAGAAGAACGCACATTCACACATCAGCCAGCTTCCCACAGACACATTTACTAACAACTCAGCACCATTGTCAGTGTGAGAGTGACTTTTTTGTCAATAAGACGACATCCTGGTTCAGAGTTCTGTTAGCAGGAAAAGCAATTAACGGTAACAAAAGCTGATCTCCTGTTGAAAGAGAGGACGGTCTCTGTAAGTCGCAAGACTCAAAGCAGCCAGAATTAGCCGGACTGATGAAAAGCAGTATTGTACGGTCTTTGAGGATAATTAAGCATCTATTAGGTCCAAACAAGTCTCTTGTTCTGACTATACCACTTTCCATTCACTGCAGTCGAAGTGTCCGTCCTTCCATTCATTTGCTCAATCACATTGACTGTTTTGCTCCGGAGGGCCTATCGGATCACATGTTTTCTAGCTGCTCTGGTTCCCGTCGTGGTTGAGCAACACAAACTCCTGTCCCAGCACAAACGCCGTCCCTCATCACTCAGGCGCCAGACCTTTATAGGTCACCATAAGCAGAGGCAGTAAAAATGCTTTCTACCTCAGTTTTTCCCCTCCATCTCTCACTCTTAGACACTAAATGCTCTTCTAAAGCCGTTTATAAAATATTCTGTTGACCCAGTAAATCCTGCACCTCCCTCCAAACAGTAATTAAGTGTCAGCCGCTCAGCGGAGCGTGACTAACCTCTCTCAGAAAAACACAAATCTTGAGCACCCCAACCCCCATTTTCCTGGCCCAAAAATGTCTTCACCCCCTCTCCGGGTCCAAAAAATTCCCCCTCCTCACCTTTTTTCTCTGACCTTTCTCCGAAATCTCTCATCAGGCAGTCTTCTTTGTGGGATATGTGTGTGTGTGTGTGTGAATGATGGGGAGGGGATGTTCCAGACATCCTAACGAGGCTGTTCTGACCCGCTGGGTCCTCACACACACACACACACACACTCTGAGGGTAGAAAGCCCTTTAAAAGCCCCATTTCTCTCACAGAAACACACGCTCTTTGAGGGCCTTACTCACTCATCATACGCCATGGGGCTTCCATTATCACAAGCGCAGAGGAATGCGGGACCGCTGGACACACACGGTTTCTCTTCTCTCCCCTCCTCTGGTCCTCTCTCCTCCCCTCACATCTTTTCAGAGCGTTCCAGCACCCAGCGCTCGAGTGTGCGAGTCCCTCGCCGCGCAACCAGCTGGACTTCAAACTCATTTCCATAGCAGAGAAAACAACACAAAGCTCTGACCCACTTCACTCATAGTCAAGACATATGGCACAGTTTCACGCTTATCAGTGTCACTTTTCAATTACAGATTTCCATTTGGAGTCTTTCCTTTCAGCAACTCTTAAACTCTATTACAAGCGCTGCGTTTTTCTGTAAAGACTATATTAAACGGAGGTGCTTTCATTAAGTCTGAAGCAAAGCAGGCCCTTAAGGCTGAGCTGGTACTGTGCGTTAGTCTTGAGACACAGTGCAGAGGGAGTTCAAGTCAGCACTGGCTTTATCAGTCATCTAAACCGCAGAGAGACAGACTGACAGACAGACACGGGGGAGGAGAGAGGCGTCTGGAGACAGTGTTCAAACCAAAAACAGCTGTTTAAGTTCACTTCAGCACAAGATTTACTCAAACACAGGTCTGAGGCTAGCAGTCATAAATCATTGTGAGTCTCCCATCATTCTTTCTGATGGGCGTGTGCAGCTGGGTGATGTCCACACACACACACACACACACACATACACACACACACAAAGGCTGTCACCAGTCCAGTGCTGTGAAGCATTAGGTAAGTGTTACACCAAATGCTTTCCGACAGAAACTGACCAGCATAGCACTGGAGGCCTGTGAATCTGAGGGTTCAGAGTTAGTGAGGCACACACACAAAAATTAACATCTGTGCTCCTTAAAGAGAAATCAGTGACTGAGACATGTTATATACACACCCTGAGGACATACACTCATACATCCAGAAGCTGAGTTAAAAGCATATCTTTACTATGCAGAGGGCAAGAGAGCTTTGTAATATCGCTCTGAAACACACTCCATTTCTCCTCTGTAGTAATGTGAAATAAGCCCTTAAATGCATATGAATCTTGCTTGGCTAACAAAACATGAGTAGTGTCTTATATAAATAATAACTTATCTATGTATAATACGCCGATAACCGTGATCATTTTGGTCACTATAATCGTGATAAGAAATTTTCATACCGTTACATCCCTAATACTCATTTGTGCTCACTGCCCAGAATTATTCATATGAACTGGTTAACATTAAAGTGAACAGTTTTCTTCTCTCAATTACAGTCTGTTTTATTTTATCTGATCACTGTGTTTTTACCCAAAGAATCTCTCTGTCTCTGCTATATGCTCACACCAAAACAGGGCAGAGGACAAAAGGTTGAATGTTTACAACTTTGCTGAAGTGCTGTGAAGTGGTATAGCTCCAAATATGTAATCCCTTCAATAAAACTGCATTTTTCTTATTCCTACTCTGGGATGAAAAGGCCTTGAAAGTGTCTAAAGAAAGCGAAATGAAG